ATGCTGACTGCTTGCCCAAAAATATATAGCCCTGCAGAAAGAACACAAGAAGGCAATTACTGATCTTAATTGCTGTTTCCACCACACCCCTGCTGTCTTGCCCAGTGCTTTCTCTGAGGCTGTTGTTCTCACAGCAGAGATGTCCCTGTGGGCTGTCATTCTGTCTCATGATTTCCTGTCTAAAAAAACAACTTATCCTCACAACTCCACTTGCACAATCCATTGGTGTTACCAGCTGGTTGAAAGGGCATCAGGCAGGTTTAGAAAGCTCTTTTCACATTTTTTTCACTCATCTAAGTTCTTCAGTAGCATTCACAATGCACCTATCTCAACCACTGTTGACAAGGGCAAGAACACTTCCCTGGAGAAAAAAATCCTTCCTTACACAGTAATTAATCTGGGCTGGATTCCAGAAATTTCTTCCAGTGTTCAGGACACAGTTGCAATATATTGCAAATATATTTGCAATAACCATGCTGTCCTGTAGGAAAGGAGGAGTTGGTCCTAGGCTGTCTCTAAACCTCTGTCCCTGGCAAATTCATCTGAGCAAATCTTACCTCAAATTTTCTGTTCTGTCCACAACTTCTGGCATTCCAAGTGCAGCATCTGGGCTAATAGATACTGCTCTGGAAAATGGTCAAAAAGAATGCTGAGGCTGCAAATACTCAAACATTAGGAAATGCCAGAAGTAAAACTGTCTGTACAACATTAATTACTTCTTTCTGACGCTTTAGTGGGAAAAGGCTATGTGCTATGGTTCATTTATGAAATTCTTGTCTCTGTTCAGCTCTTCTGCAGCTGACTGCAGAGCACTGCCAAGATTACACAGCATTTCACAAACCAGGGAGACTGAAATGGCACCAAGCCTTGGCAGCTCCCACATCAGGACATACAGCACCACAGCACCAGTGCAAGGTCTGCATTGCTTTCACCCAAACTGCATTACAACACCAAAACAGGCAAAACTAACCAAGCAAACAGCCCAAACAGAACAAAAACAATGGGAAAACAAAAAGAGGAATTTTCCTTCCTAATAGCTAAAGCTCTTGCTTTTTCTAGTTCTGCTCTCGCTGCATGCCAGGGATGCCAAAAACTTGGTATATCTCTATAAGATTAGATATACCAACTGGTTTTACTTTGAGATGATTGGGATGTCTATGTATTACTAGCAGGAAGAGAAAATGATGGATGGTACAATTCATTGTAAAGCAGAGTGACAGAATTTAAATGAACTCCATCAATGTGTGTGAATTGCAGGACTTAAGTGCACGAATTAAAATATAAATAAAATAATTGTAAGATCAAGCAGGTAGGGGCAGGTGTTTACAGAGAAGCTTTCTGCAAGCAAGTTGTTTTGGGGAAAATTAGTTTTCCTGGTTCCAATATTTTCATTAGATGTGAACAGCCCCTCTCCATGCAAGCCTTACTTATTATTATCTGACACAGACTGTCACAAGAGCTCCTTGGCAGAGATGGAAGATGTTTAGTCAGCCCAGAAAACCCTCTTTCCCAATGAAGGTTTTAGAGCAGAGGAGTGGGAAGAAAATACAAGTAAAGAACAGAATAGAAACAGTCATACCTGCCCTCTACAACTTGACTTTCATTAGTCAACCTTCAAGCTCTTCTGAAAGTGAACATCGGGGTTGATTAGGCCCAGAGAGATAAAGCAAGTTCATGAGAGTCACAGACAAGCTATGAGCAAATATAGGAAAATAATCTGAAGTTTCAGGTCCCATTCCAGTACTTTGTCTACGCAACCTAAAAAACTCATCAATCTTCAAGTCCCAACAAAACAGATGACAGCAGGAGGCAAAAGCCTGCATACTTTATTTATAATGCATGTCAGCAAAGTTCTATTTTCCTGAACTGAACAGAAACACAGAATGGGAATTTCTTTTGCTCACATTTCCCAGTCTTGTGTTCCAGCTGTGCTGTGAGCCACATCCTCCATCTTTCAATACTTGCCTGGACATGGAGTGTCAGTGTAACACTCTTCCCTCAGAGAAATTCTGACGCCTCCAACCAGTTAACAGCTCCTGTTAAGAAGCTCTTGAAAGTTCAAGGAGTGCAGGGGAGGAAGGGACAGCTAAGCTGACAAATCCTAATTAGTGTCTCCACTGGGGGGTGGGGGGGAAGAACAAGAACAAAAAAACAAACCCTCAAACAAATCCCAAAACCTGCTTAGCAATGCCTGTGCTGTTTAACTTGAGGCCAGGCCGGGCAGCAAAAACACCAGGCAATGTTTTCTAATACCTGCTGAGCCTGCTCCTGCAACAGACAAAAAATGAGCCCTGGTTTTCTGTCAGAGCAGATGACACACACTCCGGGCAGGTGTGCCAGGAACCCTTTCCACCCCCAGTATGCACATTCATCACTTGGCTTCAGACCTGTCTAAAGATGCTCTGCTTTGCTTCCCACTCCTATGGCCTGAAACCTTCATTACAAAAGCAGGTTTCCTCATCTGCTCAAAACAATCAAACTTAATACCTGTCATCTTAAGTGGAGATGCAGCTCTTGAAATAGTATTTGTGTCAGAGGAGATCGAGAAAGATTTACGTGAGCAGCTACTGCTCACATATACTGAAAATATTAAAATACACTGTATTGAAACAGCTTCCTTGCTTTTTCTCTCTTTGTGAACTTCAGCCCAAGCTTTTGTGAAATAACTTTGCCTCACTGTATCTCAGTTTGCCCACAGCTCTGACCTAGCAACAGGAAAACACACTGCCCACAGTGTTCAAAGAGTCAGGCTCAGACTAACACTCTTGGTGGATCCAGACTTATTCAGCTGGACCCAGATTTCTCTCACATTAAGCCCATTTATTTCTATTTGTTTTCATTTCTTAAGTTGCATCATAATCACTGTTATTAATAGGCAACTTCATGACTTAACCTCATCTTAATTCCGATAATTTTAAGTGTATAAATCATACCTTCACTGATGGACATGAGAGCATCAACAGCTTTCAGGCGTCCTTAACTGTTACAAAACTTGCAAACTTAACAAGTGATTTTGTGCACAAGTAAGAAATAGAGGAGCACTCACTCCCTTTTAACTGGACAGCACCAGCTGGATGAAATGGGAATAAAACAAATAAAGAAATGAAGTTCTAATGCACACAAGCAGCAAGTGAAGTTAGACAGTTTCATCAGGTAACTCATTTTAAAGTCTCAAATAACATCAAAATCTGAAAAAATGGATGGATAAATAACAGCTCAATAGCATAACTCAGTAACACTGCAATTTTTGGTATACATATGGAACTGTCAGAATTGGCTGACAAAACCATAAAAGAATTGAATTTCAAATTGCTTCCCTCAGTTTTTTGTTGATTTAACTCTTCAGCTGAAGATTCATAGAACCATGCTGATGGAAATGATGCTAATCAAATTTTTCTGTTTCCATTTCTCTGCCCAAAAAACCTAAACAAACAGCTAACAGAGGCACACAGGCATAGTCCTTGGCCTCTGATGGCTGCTCCACTTCCACACTTCCTGCAAAAGCATCTGCACATGCAGCACACTAAAGCAGAAGTGTTGCATGAAACGGCACAGAGAAGTCAAGTGGTGGCAGCTCAGGAAATAAGGCAAGAAAATGCTGCATTGTCACTGCTGCCCTGTGAAACTGCCCCTGTGTTTCCTGTTGGAATCTGAAGTTATTACAACCCACTGCAGAAAAAAAGACCAAATTGTCATCTACACATTTTTCAAGACTTAATCATGCAAGTTGCATTTACCACATTTTTTTTACTAACCTCCACACATACAAAAAAACTGAGCTCATTAAAAAACAAACTTAAATGAGTGTCCATGCCTGTAACTCTCAGTTTCTTGAAGCTTAATTTAGTTCTTAAGAAGCCCATAGATAGCATTAAACCTCTCTGCTTTAGGATTATAACATATATGGATTCCAATCAATAACCTTGATCTTGCAGAAACTTTTTGAGCTGAAAAGTGCAGACTGAAAAATGCATCAAGCCTGCTCAGAGAAATTATGATAAAATTTTGAAACAGGCAACTTGTACAATTGTATGGATTTCCTTAATCTTCTATTTAGACTGGAAGATAGCATTAGCTAGGTTCTTGAACAAAGTGTTGAAAAACACTGTGTAATATATCAGTAATTATGAAAAGTAAGTCTCAAAGTTTGCTACATCCTGGTACAAACCTCTCTGGTAAACTTACGGGATCCACAAATCAGTCGGGATTAAAAGTTTTGTTTCTTTCTTCCATTTATTTGTTATTTTCCACAGATCAAATAGAACCTGTGCATGGTTTCATCTCCAAAATTTGCACCAGAAGATTTTAAAACTTAGCATAACATTAAATTTTTTTAAAAAGAAAAGTTAGACAACATCATACAATCTGATGGATAGAAAAATAATCTCTTGCTAGTGTTCACATAATATCATAACCTAGGATATGATAAATGAGGAAAGAAGAAACTCTTCAAATTATTAAATTACCTTTTATCTTATTAAAGACAGTAATTTAGCTTTATACTGCATAAATTCAATCTTTTACACCTCAGACACCTATGATATTGTGTAGATGTTTCTTCTTCTGTAAAGAAACCACACAACAATTGTAGTTTTTCAGAATGACAATAACTAATGCATTTCAATGTTTAAGTGCATGAAACTGCCTGAGGTGTTACCATTATGCAAAATTCTTGAAAACCTCAGATAACTATTCAATTACTGGCACTTTGACCCACTACCAAGGCTAAGAAGGAAACGAAATTCTAAGTGAAAAAAAGAGACAGATCACAATTACATATTATAAAAAAGTGGGTGTGGCTTGGCTAACCACAAAGGATCACATAGTTTGTTTTTCTAAGGACTTCAGCTTGAGAAAACTGTAGATTGTCAGAGAGAGATGGCTACAGGAGGCAAATCCTTAGAAGGAGTTTGGATTCAGTAGAAGAAACACATCTCCACAAATCCAAATTTTCAGAAGAAGTTATACACAAATTAAAAAAAAAAAAAAAAAAAAAAAAGACAAGACCCAGTGAGAAGTTAAAATTTTGATAAAATGTTGGAGATTAGTGAGATTTTTATAGCTCTAGTAGTGTGTCTCCTGATTTTGCAGTTCCTCAAGCTGCAATGGATGCGAACCCAGCTTCCTCCAGGACCAGTTCCCCTCCCCATCATCGGAAATTTGTGGCTGCTGGACTTCAAACTTCGCCGAGAAACGCTCAGTAAGGTATTTCTTTATCTCTGTGGTTGAAAATCAGTCTGAATCTATTTAAACTTAAATTGTACATTGCATAGGAACAGTCTAAAACACTATTTTTTTAAACCTCATGCAAGATTACCAGCTACTTTCAAAGCCTCTGAGGACCCTGCACTATTAAAAATATTTCTGACTAACAAACACTACCATTGCTTTAGTCCTTGCTATTTTCTCTCTCTTTTGGTTACATTCTCACAAGCACTGTCATAGAATGGTATTTCATTGGCACTTTCATTCTCTTTCTATGTTGGTATCCAGCCCTGTAAGCCACCTCCACCAGAGTTCCCCTTTCCTGACACCAGTGCCACTGGAACATCTCCATTAGAAGACCAAACATGTACCCTAAACAGACGGTTTTTTCCTTGTTTTTACAGCAAAAAGATTCTTTGTCTGCTGTAAACAGGTTACTACTAAAACAAAACAGGAAAATCTGATTGCTGTTATGTTTACAACACAACCAATAAAGCCAATCAAAATTACTTTTGAAAAAGTAAGGAATTTGCTTCCCACTATTACAAGGAAAAATATAAGCATGATGTGAGGAATGACAATAGAAGAAAATAAGAAAAATCCTGTCGAAGTTATAGAAAATACAGCAAGAACATTTCTTTGCTTACTTTGTAAATTAGAGATAAGAAAATACCATATTTTTTGTTCATTAATAAAATAAAGATAAAAGCTCTGGGATTTGCCTGTAATCATTTGTTCTTTGATTTAGAGCTGACAAAGTAACCTGCTGGTTTTCCTTCTGTGAAATTTTCAGAGGTGTTCTTCTCAGAGATGTTCTTAGCATCTATCCCATAAGGAACAATTATCTTCTATTCCCAAAGCACATCAATAACAGAATTTTTTTCTGAAACCTGCAGTTCAATTTGATGCCAACAAAAGGGTTTAATTATAACTACAGAAAACTCCAAAATAAATTGATATTTGAGTGCATGCTTTCCACTGATTTATAGTTACAAATTTCCTGTTATCAACTCTTCAGTTAACCAACATCTACGGAAACATCTATACACTGTGGATGGGACAGACACCTCTGGTTGTGCTGAATGGATACAAAGCAGTAAAAGATGGCATTGTCACCCACTCAGAAGAAGTTTCTGGAAGACCTCTCACCCCTTTCTACAGGGATATGATGGGCGAGAAAGGTACAAGGGGTTACACAAGATTAAGATAGAACAAGGTGCAAAGAAAGATGTTTTCCTCTGCACACACATCACCTACTGCTGTACCAGGGCAGAACTGGGATTTCATTGCAAAAATGCTTCATGCAGAGCTAAGAATGTTAAGGAAAAACTAAAAATGTTTTGTCTTATAAAGCACATCGCTCAGTCTTCTTCCTTCCCAATAGATCCAAAGGAATACTTGCCTGGAGAAGATGATCTTTAGTTGTATAATTTCTAAACCAGGAGACTGCTCGTGTAGAAGATATCTATAGACAAAGCTGTTCAGTCCTCACCAAAACCCACTCAGTTTCCATGAACACATTTATGAGCAGCTGGGGGTCATAAAATCCTCAGAAACCAAAACCCAGCTTCTAAAATCTAATATCAGTGTATCTTGTTTGTGAAATACAACCTCATCTAAATCAAAAATTTGCCTCCTGCAGTGAAAGGATTTCCCTTCCCAGCAATGAACTAAATGTTTCTGTGTTTTTCAGGTATTTTCCTGACGAGTGGCCACACTTGGAAGCAGCAGAGACGCTTTGGCATGACAGTTATAAGAAGTCTGGCACTTGGTAAGAACAATTTGGAGCATCAAATTCAAACAGAGGCCTCTCATCTTGTGGATATCTTTACAAATACAAAAGGTAAATTCACTAGAAAAGCAGCACTTAGAGCTTTTCCTGAAATATTAGGTCTGGTAAAAGTTTCACAGTACATTTTTACAAGTAATATAGATATTGTCGATATTAGTAGAACTTTCACTGGCTTCTTAACTGCATTCTTTGCAAAAAATGTTTTGTCTGCACAGTGGGCAATATAAAATTGGGTTTTTTTAAAAAAAGGAGAGTTTTAAAAATTATTATTATCAACACAGCTGGCAATGATTCTTACACTCGAGTATAGAAACACCCTCCTTAAAATACACGATGTATGACCTGCTGGAAGTCATTCTAGGACAGCAGGCTTTTAGGATTTGGCAGAGAAAGAACCCCAACACAAGGAATGTAACGTTCAGTTATCCAAAAAAATTTCTTTTCAAGGTTTGGATGAAATAGAAACCAATAGAATTTTAGCAGGCTGCCAAAATAAAGCAATTAAATATAAATATTCTGGGCAGCCAAATTCCTCACCCACATCATGTTCCATGTGAAAACACAGAGAGGTTGCCTGAGGTCTCTCTTCAACTATCCTTGGACTAGGCCCATCTCTTTTCTGAGAGCAAGATTCACACATCTTTAAAATGTAGGAGATGAAAAAAATCATCTACCTCGAGTCCCTGTACAGCCCAAAGCTTTACCTACCATGCAATCCCTTCTCAATTTAAAATCCAATAAATTTATTTACGCTTTCCAAGAACAACCAAGAGCATTGAACTGAAGTCAGGGATGCATTTTCCATAGGAGTATACTTCAAAGGTTGTCCTTGCCATTGAAATATGTACTTCATTTATTTTCTTCTGGATTTAATCCTTTTCAATGGGAGATATATTCCACCCTATTATATGAGCTTTGCCTTTTCAGTCTGTGGGGAAAAAAACACATCTATGGTTGGATTGTTAAGACAATACTTGAAAACCAAAAAGAGATAAATAATTTCAACAGAAGTAAGAAATGAAAACTCTTTTTTTTTTCTGGTTTGTTTTTGCTTTTAGGGTTTTTTTGGCTTTTTTTGGGGGGGGTGGGGTGAGGATTGTTTGTTTTGGTTTTTAACTGTGAAACTTAAATATCTACCTCCATATTTGAAGGCATATGCTCTAATTAATTGTTTGTGTTTCCACACAACCCAGGCCACAAGTCAAAGAAGGGAAAAGAAAGTGTTTATCTTCTCAAAACTGATAATCATTATATTTTACAGGAATAAAGAGCAGATTGAAAATTAAAATTCCATGCACTTATAATTCATGAAGTTAATATGTATTAAACCAGGCTTCACTCAAGAATTTTTTCTAAAAGTAGAATGATGCCTTGTTTTTTTCACCATTGAAAAAAGTCTTCCTCGTTTTTCTTGCTGTAGTCTATTCAGAAGTTCTCACAGCACCTCCCATATTCACAGGCAAACCTTTTGACCCCCACACTTCCATCGTCCATGCAATTGCAAATATCATTTGTGCTGTTGTTTTTGGGCATTGCTTCTCCAGTGAGGATGAATCTTTCAGCAAACTCATCAAAGCTATTTATTTTGTGATCTACTTTCAAGGTACTATCTGGGGCAGGGTAAGAATCTAATTTTCTTGTTCCTTAAGGTGCATTTGTACTTGACAAGTCAAAAGAAATTAAAACTATTCACAAACATTTCCATTTCTAAACATACCATTGTTCTACAAGCCACAGTGAAGTAATAAATCAATATATACCTTGTATATGTAATTATTGGCTTCTAATCCTTCTTTGTGTCTGTAAATCACATCCTAAAATTAAAATTCTAGATCATCACTGCTTTTCACAGATTTCCAATGAGCAATCATTTGCAGAATACTGTCTATTTAAGATTCTTAGTTCTTAAAATGAAAGCACTTCTAAAATGTAATTTTCATTTAGTCTTGCAAATCCAGAAATGCAGTTAAAAAGAACTAAGTCATCAAATGGATGCTCTTTTGAAAAGATATCTTGTTTCAATTCATAATTTATATTACCATGAAGATCTGAGTTATTCTGAGCTTCCTATAAGATACAAGTTACAACTTCATCACACTAAGAATAATTTTTAAGTTCTTGAAACCCTACCTATTGCTTAACTTGCACAGATTTTGGCACACTGGCATTCTACAACCCTATCAGGTTCTTCATAACGGAATGCCTAAAAAAAACCACAGTAAAAAATTCAAGGTTGGGAAAATCTGTTTGTGAGTCAGATTCTGCACTCAACTAATCACCCATTTTCAGAACCCCTGTTACACTACTAGGTATTGATCCAAAAAGCAAAATATAATCATGTTCCCAGCATTTAATCTCTCTTACTTGTGTATTGCCTCCCATGCCAATTTGGTTGCCCACGTGTTGCAGTGACTTCACAATTATCAGGGAATCAGAACTGGGATCTGACATTCCTTATTTTCTGTTTAACACCACAGCTGTACGATGCTTTCCCATGGCTCATGCACCATCTCCCAGGGCCTCATCAGGATGTGTTTGCATACAACGACTTCATGCACACATTAGTCATGAAAGAGGTCCAGGCTCATGAGAGGCACAACACAGGAAATCCACAGGATCTCATTGACTTCTACCTGGCTCAAATAACAAAAGTAAGTTTCTGTTTATCACACTCTCCCTTCCTTGGCTTCAATGCCTACTACAAACACTTGCTGTTCTAATAACTGCCAAAGGATTTTAACATTCACACTCTATTTGATTAACATTGAAGGTGTTTGATTTGGTGGGCTGATCACTGTTATCATCAAACAATGACAGTTTCAATGTGACTGGTGAAATTATCTACTTTATAGTCTTCTTGTAAATATACCCTACAGACCAAGGACGACCCTACTTCTACATTCAATAAAGAAAACATGGTTCAGACTGTGGTTGATCTCTTGCTGGGAGGGACAGAAACAACAAGCACCACCCTTCTCTGGGCACTGCTCTACATGGTGCAATACCCAGAAATACAAGGTGAGCAAAACCACTACCAGAGAGAACTGCATTCAACATCACAATAAACATCATTAGAGTAAGTATTAGCTCAATCACTTGCAAGACATGCACATGAATGGTGCAATATCAGCAATTGAGATCCAGAAAATGGAAGGTCAATAAATGAAAAAAACAGGTGCTTTCCCATTTGATTCACCAGCAACAGTAGCTGAAATTAGTAGTAGCCAGTTTTACCTCACTAGAAGGGCTTGGCAAGACAGAGTAGCAAATTAAAGACATTTAATTAGTCTCCTCCTAACCTTCGAAGTAGAAAAGTTTTTAAAAGATACCCAATCTGATACATATTTATTAACAATAGAAATTCTACCTGTCGTTTCGAAGTTTAATATGATTTTTGAAACACAGAATGGTACTATCCTCATCACCAAGTAGGATATGTCTTAAATGAGACATCATCCTGTGCTTTCAGGAGATGAATTTCCTTGATCAACTGAAACCTACACAGCAATCAAACCACATGCCAGTGCATTTCACAGCAACATAATTTCTTTTATTTCCCTCGTACAGGACATTCTCATACAAAAATCTGCTGGGGGGAAAAAGGAGGGGTGGGGAATGGGAAATAATATTATTTCATTTGTCTACAGAAAAAGTTCAAAGGGAGATAGAGGCTGTTCTGGAACCCTCGCACGTTATCAGCTATGAAGACCGTAAGAAGCTGCCCTACACAAACGCTGTCATTCACGAGGCTTTGCGCTACAGCAATGTCACCTCTGTTGGGGTCCCTCGGCAGTGCCTGAGGAGCACAACTCTGCTGGGTTTCCACATTAAAAAGGTACAGATACCGTCATTTCTTACATCTTTGAGCTGTTAACATTTAACATTTATGTGACAGAGAGAGAAGGAAAATCTATGGAAAATAAGATCTCTGCTGCTTCTTGCAGGGCACGCTTGTGTTGCCAAATCTGCACTCTGTGGTGTATGACACTGAGCACTGGGCAACCCCTTGGAAGTTCAACCCAGATCATTTCCTAGATTTGGATGGCAACTTCGTGAACAAAGAGGCATTCTTACCTTTCTCAGCAGGTAACACCCTGACCTTGAATATTCCTGTTTGCCATGTTTCGCAGCAAGATTAAAAATATTACCTCTAAGTTCTAAAATTTTAAAAACATACATTTATAAAAATGTATTTGACACAAAGATTTAAAGTCAGGTCTTCTGCTGTAAGAGCCATAAATATTGTTGTGCATTTTGTGTTTTTTATATATTCAAACAGAGGATAAGTATGGCTGGGAGACACAATGCTCTTTCCTTGGCATATGCAGGGCTCCTACCATAAGGATATCTGAGCTTCTTATCTCCTAATGTGTTAAATGAGGGTAGTTACCTGTTCAATCAAGATGATTCCCCTAAATCAGGAAGCTGATTTACTTTCACCTTACAAATAGGAAGGCCAATGACAATGGAATGTGATTTTTCAAAACATGCGGAGAAAATCTGTGCAGTAGGAAACCAAACCTCAGTCTCCCAAATCCTACATTAATAGTCTAGCACCAGGTTTTCTTGTATCTGTAGAAAAGTAGTAGATTTTGTAAGTTTTCAGCAGAATATTATTAGGCAACCAGAAAAAATTCGTAGCTTTTCAAAGCATATTACAATATACAACTTAACTAACTTACAGTGCAAAATGCAGGGATTCAAAGATATGGAAGGGGAAAAGAATGCAAAGCAGTATCAAACAACTTTAGTGAGTTTCTCTAGTCCACCACTTTCTCCAATAAACTGATTATGAAAAAAAGCAGCACAAAAGAGGAAAGTGGTATCATTACTAAAAAATTCATCATAAAACCACTGGGAAACAGCTGAGGTTTTTTTGGTGTTACCATGATGTTATACTAACTATAAACTTCTTGTAGCAGAAAAGCAAAGAGCATACTAAGTAACACATAGATTAAATGTAGTAAATTCAGATTTTTTTAGAATTGCCTAAATTGTCTGTAAATCCTACAATCATCTTTGCAAAACAGGTATTTATCATCTTATCTCCTTCACTCACCAAATGGCCATGAATCAAGACAACTAATTTGGGCTCCCATTTCAGCTGTGGCATAGGACTATTTCTTTAACTTGCTCTGGTTGTTTTCTGTTTATGTAATATGAGTATTTATATATTCTGAATATTGATCTTTGGGGGATTTTTAGTTTGGAATATATAGATATCCTGAAATATCCTGTGTAAACAATATGCCAAAATGAGTCACTAAGTCTTTATATCACTGCACATTTCACTCCCTTAGCTCACACATCTGTTCCTGACACAAGGACTCAGTATACCCTTCTGAATTTCTGTTAAAGAAATCCTAATTATATCCTTCTCCTTGGCTTCAGAACTGCATCCCACACTGCTCCAACCCTCCCCTTCTCAGCAACCAAAATAAGACTCTGAAGTATATTAATCTTTTAACAATCTGGCTTAGCTAAGAAGCAATTCATGGCTCTCACAGAACAAGAATCAACAGAGAATCGTTTACGGGCTCCAGGGATGAAAAAAAAAATAAAAAACCCAACCACAACACCAAATCAAACACCTGACAGAGGTGCACAGTTTCCCAGTTAAATGTTTTGTCTCTCTCCTCCTAAAGCATTTTCTGTCCTTATAGAAGGAAATAGGAAATAATTATCTTACATTAACAGAATTTATGGAACTCAGTAGAATTGTGTGCAAAATTCTTTTACAGAATTTAACTTTACTCATGCAACTCCTGCTTTTCTTCTGCAGGACATCGTGTTTGTTTGGGAGAACAGATGGCACGAGTTGAACTGTTCATCTTCTTTACCAACCTCCTTCGGGCATTTACATTCCAGCTCCCCGAGGGAGTAAAGGAAATCAATCTGGAGTACATTTTGGGTGCAATATTGCAGCCACATCCATATAAACTCTGTGCTATTCCACGCTAGTCTGCAACACACTGCAATGCTGAGAGACTTCAGCCTGCTAATAATTGCAGATCCTTTAAAAATGTTTCACTCTCTCAATTCTATTCAGATGGAAGTAGCTCAACACAGCAAGTTAATAGTGTTTTTATTTAGGAGGTCTGACCTCATCTACTGAACTTTCTGAAATGAAAATAAGTCTACCTACCAAACTCATATAATTGAGTCTTAGGCATATACAAATAGACAATATTTCCCAAACAATGTATTTTCAGGCTTACAGTAGCAGTGAATTAGCTGTAGGATGATAGAAAAGTAGCCTGTATCAAGTAGTTTCCTGCATATGTGCTCTGTAAGGTATCACACTCTTAAAATGGAACAACTGCTCAGTAAGGATGCTTGAATAAAATTTTCTTCAGTAAGCTGTTAATCTTCTGTGTTCATAGGTCTTTTCTTAGATGATCTTGCAGGAGGTAACAGAGCATACACAACTTAGTGTTGAGGCCTTTGCCTTTCACTCTCCCAGAAAGCATTATATTGTGCGGCCCAAACTTCACACACACAAAAATTATTGTAGTATGAGGCCTCTCATAACCCTGGCCCATTTAGAAATCCTTACAACTTTTTTCACTTCCTCAGTATCCAATTCTATTTCATCACAACTCAGGTCCATACACTTTCACAAACCTTTCCTTCTGTTTAGAAACACTGTATGATCCAATAATTTCCTATTTGAAGAGAAAGTAATTAAGAAAATAAATGATGTCAACATCTTCAGTTGTTTTATTAGGTAGAGATTTATTACTCATGGTGTTTTCTTCTGTTCTTTCTCCACATCAGGAGATGTGGAAGGTTTTGACCATTTAAAATTCAGCTGAAAGCATCCTGAATCCTTTCAATTTTCAAAGTTAAACAGGAGCCAGCAGAAATTATGGCAGGATGTAGTTAAAAGCAAAAGCAGCATACTACATATTTCTGGGACATAAAACTAATGGAAGACTTGATCCTCCTTGCAAATATTTCTAATTATTCCCTTCCACTAAGTAAAAACCCCAGGGTTTTAACACATGGTAATGTTTGCTACCACAGAACAAATGCATACATCACTTAATCATTGACATTCTTTTCCTTTTTAATAAAAGCCATTTGAAAACTTTCAATGTTACTTTATTTTTATTGAGGAAAATATAATATTTTTAAAATCCTGCTTGAATAAGAAACACTTTCAAACATAAATTAAGAAAAAACTCTTAAACTTCACATTTCTTGCAGTGAGGGCAGCTCTTTCATAAAATACATTCTTACAGATTTACAAAAGCTGTCTGACAAGATATTCAACAGTTTTCAAGTCTTGTCTTTTTTATTTCTGATGTTCATTAAAGAAAAACTCACGAAAAAATAAAATAAAATAAAAATCTTTCCTTAGAACCCACCATCTGCTTGGTTCCAGAGAGGGCCCAAGGTAAAGTGCTCAGCAGCAGGACTGGCAGTGTCAGGTACAAACTTGGACTTTTTCTACTCCAATGTATTTTGATGGTTCTTGAGGTATATCCAGCTCTTCTTCATGAAAACTTCATGGTCACATGAAGTTATTCTGTCAGGTTGCATTCTTTTCCCAATAAAATATTACTTCACAATCATAAATGGTTATAGTTGGAAGGGATCTTAAAGATCATCTTGTTCCAATCCCCCTGCCATGGGCAGGGACATATTCCACAAGACCAGGGTGATCAGGGCTCCATTCAACCTGGCCTTACATGTAAGTTTTCTGGTTTTCTTCCAAAACTGCAGTTTGGATTAAAACATGCACATATTCTTCACCTGTATTTTTGAAGAACTGAGGTACATGATAATTTGCTGTACAATGCTCCTTCTAAAAATGTGGGAAGACAAAATATTCAGAGTGTTCATGATTAAAAGAGGTATTTTTTACAAAGAAGTCATCACAGCCCTGACAGTTGGTACCAGTGAAAAACAGCTGGGCTAAGAGCATCTTCTTATTATTCCATTTAAAACTGAGAAGAGCAAGAGATGAGGCATTCCTCAGCTTCCTGATGCAGTGCAAGAATTCCACATTACCTTTTCATCACAGTTGTAAAGGAAACCTATAAGAAAATGTGTAATACAGAGGAAAAAAAGCTATTTCATCAGGGTTTTTTTTGTCAAGAAGGAATTGAAGTGAATCAGAGAAAAGAAAGATTTAGAAACTAAGGTCAAAATGCAAACTTGTCATCTGAAACATCCTTTTAAAAAACCTAAAAACTTTAAAACTCATAAATCTCATCACTTCAGTAACTAGAGAACACAGTCAAACTTTTAGAAAAGTACACTGACATCAAGCTCTGTTGTTATGTATCTTTTAGAAAGCACTAGCCCAAAGTGAGGCAGACTGCCTGGAACCCTCAGAAGCTAAACCCCTGAAAGTTTAAAATTCAGTATTTAGAAGAGCCCATACTGTTGAAGATTAGATTCAGACATTAATTTCTCCCACTGATAGAAAAATGTAACTGCAATTTCCAGATTCTTGAAGCTGTCCTGAGGAATCTAAGTTGTCTTTGATTCTGTTTCCATGAAACAACATAAAGGAATATAATTTTGATATAATGGTCTTGCAACACTTTGTTCCCAAAACAATGGTAACAAAGGACCTTCATGACATAGTTCAGCCCCTAAATATTAAAGTTCTTAATATTAAAAATTAAACAGGAACCATATGGTACACACAGGTCTGTGCCCACTGAGTGAAGTACACAAAATTCACACTGTGTGGTTTTAAGAAAAAAAATGTAATCACTGGTCAACATGACCCAGATTGAGAAAATGAGTAAGCTAATTCTAAACTTGGGTGAAGATCTTTTCCTACATTTTTTGTTTTGTTCATACCCCAAGAGAAAGACCCAAGTATCTAGATGGTCATGTTCCACTTAATAAGCAGAGTGTTATCAAGGACATGTTTTGATCCACCAACCAAATCATGTATCTCCAAACCACTGTTAAAATAATACTTTATTTTTTAATGAAACTAATTTTAACTAAAGTTCTCCTCTGCACTCAGTAAAAACACCATAAGTATTAGTCACTCAGTATTCACATCTAACTCTTTTATATTACATGCCTATCTAATCAAGCAAAACAGAACCAAAATCTGAAATAGCTGTCATTAACTTGATCAAAACAACTTGCACTCCAGGAGGGATTATAATGGTGGGATGCTGTATGGGCTGGCTGTAGGGAAACAAATAAAAACCTAATCTTCTCATTTTGCTGTACTTTCTTAAGCCTTTAAACACTATAACATCATTAGAATTTTAAAACTGCAATACAGAGGATACCAAAAACCAATCAGATGGAGGAAGGATACAATATGTAGTTAAAACAAGCAGAGCTGTGATGACACCAAGAATAAATACATCAAAATATATCACTTACTTCTTGTAATACTTGTCCAAGTGTCTCCCGGCTGTGAATGCGCTTCCTGTTGAAAACCCAAACCACACTTATTTCTGTACAAAGCATTGGGAATCTTGCAAATATCAAGTATTTAAACTACTTCAAAAAGAGAAGTTATATCAGGCTTTGTTCCATACCCTTTCCCTTAGCAAATCTTTCTGCAACTCTATTGAGACTTACTGCAGTCATATGGAATTTACAATTCTGATTCAGAGCTGTTGTTATTCACATCATAATTAGGAACTACCTGGAATAAGGCTGGCTACTCATTGCATTTTCTCAAAAACAACCCTGATTTTTAAAAGGCATTATTAGCTTCCAACGTAAATCCTAACATTGATGATACAGCAGCTGGTATTTAATTACTTTAGTGTCATCTCCTCCAGCAATAGACATTCAGCAACTGATGCAAGAAGATTTAACAAATACTACCTTTTTTAGTCATTCTTCCAAAATACTCAAAGTGCTAAGTAGTGCATGCAAACACAACAGAAATACGAAGATGTCACAAAAAGTTTCCATCAAGAGAACACATTACTGCAGTCATTTCCATGCATCCTGTAATATACGCACTAAAAAGACTAGAAATGCAAATAAAAGGCAACATAATTTTACCTGTCTATTTTGGTTGCTATGACCACTGTAAAATTGCCTTCTGTATTGGGCAAGTATGTAGAAGGTATAATGACATAACTTCCTGCAGGAAGCCTGCAAAGTCGGCTGACTTCCTGGGAATAGCAGTGAGGAACACAGCTCACCAGTGGCTCCAAGTGTACAAAAGAAGTAGTTTGTGGTTTCCAGCTGTTGTTAGGCACCTGCAAAAAAGAATGCAACCATGCCTACCTTTTCATCTGTTTCAGGTCTCACAATGTTTCATTTCTAGGACACTACAGTGTGACATGGGCCATCTCTATTTCAAATACCCGCTCTGCTGTACAGAGCTAGAGAGAAGAGGAATGGAAAAGCTTCCAGAAAACCCAGATAGCAGTACTAAGAACAGATGAATCATTCCTAGCCTGTTTGTAGACAACCTATAGAACCCACTACTCACATAGCTCTAGAGCTTTCTCTGTTGTCTGATCTTATTCCTCCCTGCTGCATCCTAAAGCACTTCTTTTCCACCTCAGGGATCTGCTGAATAGACTGTGTCCTTCCTATATCTAGTAGTCTTTCCTGTACTAAAAAGTGATATTAGACTTCATCTCACTCTCCTATAGGCATAAAAAATGCAATTTTTTCTTCACATATTGTATACTTGAAGTTTTATTATTACTTCTGGCACCCAAATCCAGACTCTTCACTTAAGTAACACCTTTTTTTGAAGCATGTTTTCTAAAAATAAAGCTACCTTTCTCTGCGAAATAGTTACTTAAAACATTTGCTTCTCAGGTTACATTTATGCAGTTGAACACTGGCACACACATGTAGAATCTGTATCTATCCATATCAAATCAAATCTTGTTTTGTTTCTGATCACCTGCTCAGGATATCGCAGTCCTTTTCATCCAATATCATTTGCCTACGGACATTTAATTATTAGACACAAAGGAGGTAAGTTTTCATGATGAATTACCAAAAGGTCTGGTTCTCAATTACTAGGGCACTGAGAATTCT